TGTGGTCAGTTACAGAGCCCTGGTGAGCCCTCTCCAAGGTTTTGCTAGGGATGTTCCTTCAGAGCCTGTCCATCTGTGACCCAAGAGCTCTGGAAGAGACCTGTGGGACACCTGATCCAGGGCACCCCATCCCAGCCCTGCTGGGGGCTTGCCTGGAATTGTTTAAAAGCTTTTCTGCAGGGAAGAAGGGCTGGAGAGGGAAGCCTGATCCTCCAAAGGGAAAGGAACTAGGGCAGGGGTGGGTTTAGTCCTTATTCTAGCCCTCAGTATAAGGAATGTCCCACCTCACCATATCCATCTTTTTCACATTCCATTCAAAGTACATATTCGTACCAGAGACTTTTCACTTTCATCCCCTTGCCACTCCATGAGCGCGCTGAATCTTTAACCCTTCTAAAGATGTCCCTGGTGAGCCAGCAGTAAGCCCAAGTGTAAGCCAAGTAAGCCCAATTTTCCAGTGTCCCCCACTAAGCAGGAGTTCAGGGTGGAGGCCAGGGCTTTTCTGAGTCCTTTCCTCAGGGCCTCCCTGACCTCCCTGTTCCTCAGGCCGTAGATGAGGGGGTTGACCAGGGGCGTGAGGACGGTGTAGAAGAAGGAGAACACTTTGCTGAGGTGCTGCAGCGGGCCTGTTCTGGGCAGGACATAGACAACAAAGAGGGAGCCATAGAAAACGGCGACGACGGTGAGGTGAGAGGAGCAGGTGGAGAAGGCCTTCTGCTTGCCCATGTTGGATGGGATCCTCAGGATGGCAGCTATGATGCACACGTAGGAGGCCAGCGTGAACAGGAAGGGGAAGACCACATCCAAGAAGCCAAATAGGAAAGCAACAAGCGTGGCCGTGCTGGTGTCACTGCAGGCCAGCTCCAGCAACGGGGTAAAATCACAGAAGAAGTGGTCGATGGTCCTGGGGCCACAGAACTGTAACGGGGGCAAGAGAGAAGTACGGACCGTGGAGACCAGCAGTCCCAGGAGCCAAGACCCAGCCACCAGCTGTAGACAGACCTTCCAGGTCATGAGGCTTGTGTAGAGCAGGGGCTGGCCAAGTACCGATCATAGGACATGGCTGCCAGGAGGTAACACTCAGTCGTTGCCAAAGCAGCAAAGAAATAGAACTGAGCCACACAGCCGTCAGCAGAGATGGTCCTTTCCCATCCTTCTATGAGGAGAGGCTGAGAGACCTGGAGTTGTTCAGCCTGGAGAAGAGTAGGCTACGGGGAGACCTTATTGAGTACTTCCAGTACTTAAAGGGGTCTTATAAGAAAGACAGGGATAGACTTTTTAGGAGGGCCTGTTGTGATTTGACAAGGGGGGATGGCTTTCAACAAAAAAATTGGAGATTTGGACTAGATATAAGGAAGAAATTTTTTACAATAAGGGTGGTGAAACACTGGCCCAGGTTGACCAGAGAGGTGCAGATGCCCCATCCCTGGAAACATTGCAAGTCAGGTTGGACGGGGGTCTGAGGAACCTGGTCTAGTTGAGGATGTCCCTGACCATGGCAGGGGAGGTTGGACTAGATGGCCTTTAAAGGTCACTTCTAAGCCAGACTATTCTATGATTCTATGATCTGTAGACCTTTTGAAAACTACTCCTTAGTCATTCCAGTTCCTTCTTACATTTAAACAAGATGACTGACAGTTCCAGGAAATGTTTTTTTCTAAACCGCGTCGGTCATAGATTCAGGGAGCAACAAGTGTGGAGATGTTCCATGAGGGAGGATGAACCTGGAGCTGAGGGTGGCCACAACACAGGCTATGCCCTCCCCAGCCAGGACACAGCCCTGCGGCATCTGAACACAGCAGGCAGAGCAGGGTGGTGGTAACAGTGTCCCTCATAACAGTGTCTGCGGAAATATAACGGAAGGCCGGTGAGGAGGATTACAAACACGCACCGGTGACTTGCAGCTGGGGTGTTGAAAACCACGTATATCGTGCTAGTTGTTGTTGGGCCTTGTGTGTTGGACAAGTAGAACGTATGTGTTTAGATAACACATAGATAACATAGGCCTGTGATGGACTTGGAGGCACCCTATGGAACATGCTTGAGATTCCTGCCCTGCTCCGGGGAAGATCAAGACACAGTGCTAAATTACGCCTGCGTGAATCCCTGAAAAACAGGCCAGAACAGCGGGTTCGGTGATGCTCTGGCTTGGACCCAGGTCCATGGTGCCTGTGTGCCTCTGCCCGAGTTTTGTGGATCCCCTGGTTGGTGAGGTAACAAAAATAAATTTATACTCTGCAATTCGTCCATGGTTTTGTGGTTGTGCCTGTACCAGCTCACACAGGGTCCACCAACAGCTCTGGACAAGGTGAGCGCTGGACCCGGGTCCAGAGTCCAACCAAGAGGAGACAGGGATGGGACAGAGACAAGATGAGGGACAAGGCTACAGCACAGGTGAGAGATGCACATCACCAAGATAGCATCAGAGCTGGGAGCAATTGCAAGGTCACTTACACAAAGCTTGAACCTGTTCCTGGACCCATGGGCAAGGCCTGGGAGGGGGCCCCAGGTGAGGCTGGTCAGGGCCACCAAGGCCTCTGGGTACCCTCTGGGCTCTGATGGGTAGGATGAATCACTGCTCACAGGATCTGGTCTCTCTACAGTAACTGTAGAGTCAAGGTCGAATACCTCCCTTGCTTCAGGTGGTATGAGAGTCCTGCCCCAGGTCTTTCCATGGGAATGGATCATGGTCCTTCAAAGACTCCACATGTTGCTGGGGTTGTCCACAAAGACAAATCCCTTATCTTGCTAGCGATGGGGAGAGATTGGTTGGGTGTGCTGGAGGTGACAATGGAACATTTGTCTCCTGCCGCCTGGCCCTCCTGGCTCACACTGCTCACTGCAGCATTCCACCGAGGCAAATCTCGGGGTGTTGAGATGGGAAAGGTGGATGCCACAGCTCCAACTCCATCTGAGCATCCCTCCTCCACACAGAAGAGAGAGAAACTGAAACACAGGGCTTCTAAATTAGGAGGGTCTATTCTCCAAACAACTTTAGCCTGTAGGAGTCCCGTCACAACGTGGACACCCAAGTTTCCAAAGCTGTGCAGCCCACTGAGGACTTCATTGGAAATTGTGTTAAATAATAGGAGGAGCGGATCCAGCTAGAGGGTAAACACCATAAAAATGGCAGTCTGTGCAGAGAAATGGTTTGGGGTAGTCTGGAAATGGGTTCCTGGGGTGGTTTCTGATGCCTTTGGGTATCTGAGGCCTCTGCACAGAGAACAAGAGACACTACATGGGGCTTCAGGGTGACTCTGCCCCATTGGCACTGGTGGAAGGAGGTCAAGAAGACACAGCCTGCAACAGCTGAGATGCGCTGCCTTCTTCCATTGTGAAGCAAAGCATTGACAGGACAAGGAGGGCTCGCGTCCAGCTTGGGTGGCACCCTGTGCTTAGGTTTCAGTGTGAGACTCCCAAGAAAAGCTGGGATTGAAATCTCTCATCCTTAGCAGCTACAGCAAAAATGTCTAGATCCAGTGGGCCACCCTCTCGTGCCTTTCCATCTGAGGCAGAGACAGAGGAGCTTCTTCTCCTAAGGTGCAAGTCAAAGCAGCTGGGAGGAGTTCCATCAGAGGAGCAACCTCCTATGGAGGACACAGGACTTCAAACTCAAAGTACGTATCGAGTACGTATCAGCAAGTGAGCTCACTTCAGCACATGAGGGCCCAGGCCCTGATTCCTCTGACCATGAAAGTCATCTTTAGTGGTCACGTAAGCCAAGGGAAATCTTGCAGTCTGCATGCAGGTGAGGTAAATCCTGTTTCCCCTGTCCTGCTGACCAAGTTGGGATGCCCTTGTTCGTTGCCCTTCCTCAGTTTACCTCTTCAAGAGAGCAGGCTGGAGGTCTGCTCCAGAGGTATGGGGAACACCATCCCCGCCTGGAGGTGTCGGTGAGGTTTACAGCAGCTCAGAGCTGCCATCCCAGCAGGGAGTCAATTATATTGTTTTCACCGTGTGTAATCCCTAGAAAGCTGAGAGGCAGAAGAAAACCTTTGGGAGATTGAATCCTGCATTATACCCCAGAACACTGCACAGAGCAGAGGACGTTTGGATGATGCTGCAGACTCACTGTGGACCTGCTGGGAGAAGGGCAGAGCAATGCCCAAGCCCTGGGTCAGAGTTTGGGCATAGACCAAGGGAAGAAAAGACCATAGATGAGACCCTTGTTCTTCACTCTCAAGCATCATCAGCACAGAGGTCACCCCTTGAGGCTGAAGAGTGCAAGTTGGTGGTGGAGGTGTTGGGGCAAGTCTGGGGGTTGTTATTTATCCAGTGGGTCTTTGCCAGTGGATTGCCCCTTCCTCCCGGCACAAAATCACCTTTCCTCCCCAAAGAGCCCCGAATTCGTAGCTTTTAGACACTCACTCATACAATGCCACTGCACAGTCCGTTGTGCGTCTCAGCTTGCAATCCTTGACTTGGTTTTTACCAGCGGGGCAGGAGAAGGGGGGGAATTGTCTCTTTCTAAAACAAGAGTTGAGATACCTCACCCTGTGCAGTGCCCATCTCTACCGGGGGGGATGAGAAAGTGTGCTGTGCCTTGCACACTTTCATTTAGGGATCTTTCAGGGAAGGGGGAGATACCTTTTTGCTTCCCTGTCTTAGAGCAAAGGGCTCTCCGTCCTCGAAACGTCAGCTGGGTGCTCAGGGGATAACTTTGAAGATACAAAACAGAGCACTCTCGGCCTGAGCAGAAGGACTTTCTCGGTGACTGCTAAAGTAGGAACCTCGCCTCCCAGCAACAATGTGAAGCAACTCGCGGACGTGGCCAGAAGCAGACTTTTGGCTAGGAAAGCCTGTTCACCTTTCCCCAGTGATGGAGCCTCTCACAGAACCACGTATGTTGTCTGCTATAGTACAGAATCACTCGCTGTTCTCATTCGGAGTCATTTTTAAAGGCTCGTTCAGACCTTCTTTCTAAAGCAAACACAGGTATGTCCTTCATGAAACACCTCTCTCTTGCAACGGGGCAAAAGGAAGACCAAACTGTGATGGTGATGGAGAAGGAAGGATGGGATAATGGGACATCACCATTGGGGTTCCTCCTGGTGGGAATAGGGAATGTTCCCAAGCACCAAATGGCACTCTTCCTCCTCTCGCTCATCATCTACTTGGTGACTGTGGCTGGGAACATCCTCATTGTTGTGCTGGTGGTGGCAGAGCAGCATCTGCACACCCCCATGTACTTCTTCCTGGGCAATCTCTCCTCCTTGGAGACCTTCTACAGCTCCACCATCCTGCCCCGGCTGCTGGCCAGCTTCCTGACCGGGGACAGGACCATCTCTGCTGACGGCTGTGTGTCTCAGTTCTATTTCTTTGCCGCTTTGGCAACGACTGAGTGTTACCTCCTGGCAGCCATGTCCTATGATCGGTACTTGGCCATATGCCAGCCCCTGCTCTACACAAGCCTCATGACCTGGAAGGTCTGTCTACAGCTGGTGGCTGGGTCTTGGCTCCTGGGACTGCTGGTCTCCACGGTCCTTACTTCTCTCTTGCCCCCGTTACAGTTCTGTGGCCCCAGGACCATCGACCACTTCTTCTGTGATTTTACCCCGTTGCTGGAGTCATAGCTGCGCACCGGAGGCTCCCATCCAACATGGACAGGCAGAAGGCCTTCTCCACCTGCTCCTCTCACCTCACCGTCGTCGCCATTTTCTATGGCTCCCTCTTTGTTGTCTATGTCCTGCCCAGAACAGGCCCGCTGCAGCACCTCAGCAAAGTGTTCTCCTTCTTCTACACCGTCCTCACGCCCCTGGTCAACCCCCTCATCTACAGCCTGAGGAACAGGGAGGTCAGGGAGGCCCTGAGGAAAGGACTCAGAAAAGCCCTGGCCTCCACCCAGACTTTGTAGTATGTTTTAGACCTTGGTGTAGAAATGGTCCCTCTGTGAATTGCTGAGGATGAAGCGTGGGAAGGCATAAGCTGCGTACCAGGTACGGTCCAGGTTCCCATGCCTTGTGGATGTTTGTGAGACAGAAAGGATGATGGAAGACCCAGTTCCTTAGAGACCTTTTTGCCTAATTTAGAAGAAACTGTGGGAAAGTCCCTGCTCACGCGTATATCAATCGTGAATAAAATTTTGTACTTGTCTGTTGGATCTCTGCTTTTTCTGTGGGGATAAAAGAGGAATTGAGCTTGAAATGAGAGCTCTTTCCAAGTCCTATCATGCTGGCGTTGTCTGAGTGTGGGTTTCTCTGGTGATATTCATCTCTGACTTGAGCAAATGGAGGTGTGTTGGGACAAGGAGCCAGCAGAGGCATCTGGGAATGTGAGGGCATCTGAAAGGGGTCTTGTTTCCCCACAGTGGTCCACAGCACTCATGCATCTGGGCAGGCTGATCCATGCCAGGTGGTCTGTGATTCAGCCCATCCAGAGGTTAGTGCTAACACAGGCCACATGCAGTCCACCTCCTTGGGTGGTCCAGTGCAATTGAAGAAGGCTTTCTGGCCGGCACATCCCCCTGCAGAGAGGAACTGTCCCTCAAGTCCAGCTTCTGCCAAGGGTCCTCCCCTCACTGCTGTTGCAGCACCTGGAGTGGCTCCTGGAGGAGGTGTACATACCCGTGGTGGGGACGTCTGTCCATGAGAGCTCCTCAGCAGAGGGACCCTTTCTGTCCCACGGTGATCTGGGAAGCAGAGTCACAAGAAACTTGCTAGTCTTGCTTGGGGATCCTGCGCTTAAAGAGCTCTCCAAACTCTTTATCCCAATATCATTTCTCTCTCCATGTCTGCCCTTACGATGCAGCTAAAGATGTCATTATGGGCCTTATGGGCCAAAACAAGTGGACCTCAGCTCTCCTCTCTCCTCTGGTCAGGCCCAGTGAGACGCACAGCCTTAGGGACCAGATATCAGTGATGAGGAGCCATCAACATGAGAGGGGAAGTTTAGGCAAGGTGAGTGGTGAGGCATGGCCCTCGTTATGGCTGGGGTCTGAGACAGCATTTCCAGAAAGAATCCTGAACATCACTCCCTACACCCTTCCCCCCCTCCCGTGATAGATCAGTACGCCCCAACTCCAGCTGTACTCCTCGGGCTCCAGCTGCATCTCTGCCCATCATCCTTGACCTCTGTGTGCATAGGGTGGGGAGGCCCCATGTGCCTCAACACCTTCAGCTCTTGGATGAGCAAACTTCCCTTCTCATGCCTCCTTCCTCGCCAGAAAGACCTTGAACCATCTCTGCTCCAGATCCTAGGGTAGTGGTGGGCCTTTAATGTCTGGTTCCCCACAGGTGTCAACTCCTTTTGCATTAGAGATCTGTGCATCATGACTGCTTGCTGTCCGAGAAGGTCACGCTACGGGGATTACAGCAGTACCAACCTTGCGTCTTCTGGGACCCCAAGCTCCAACTCCAAGAAAAAAGGCTGGAGGTGCTGTGGATCAAGAATTCCGCATGACAGAGGAATTCCTTCGAACTGACCTGGAGGGATCCCCACGGAGATTTTGTGCACTCCTGGGGTACCTGAGTACCCAAAGAAAGGGCTTTCTGCTCCACTCCCTGCCCTCCTGGATGACCTGCGTGGTGATCATGGCTGAGGCTGTGCTGATCGCAGTGCTTGCAGGGACTCCTCAGAAACAGTGTCCTGCCCGGCGGAGGGTTTTCTCCAAGTCCTGAGAGCAGGAATATGGAGAGCCACATCTGACTGAGCTTTGCAGCGTGTTTGTTCTACTCCCAAAGCGGGGAATGAACCACAGCACAGTCCCATGACCCAAGAGCCTGGTGGTCCCCCAGCCTTGTCTGCACAAGGACTGGCTGGGGACACCATCACTCCCATGGAGGTGGGATGGCACGAAGGGACAGTACAGTCCCAGGGGACCACGGCCATGGGAGTGGGGCTGTGTTGGCATGGGGATTTTTTGGGCACTGTGCCACCACGGGAACTGGTCCTCACCTCCCGGTCAGTATCACACACTTTCCTCCAGCTCGCCCAGTGCATGGTCCTCTCCCAGGAGCGTGGCAGGAGGGGATTGCTTGGGGGTAGACGGCACAAACCTCCCCCACAGGCATGTTTCAAGGACTCCAGACTGCAGAGACCTCTCTCCCCATGCTCTGGGCTTCTTGATCCTTTGCCTTCTTGCAGGAGATGCAAACCAGTCCCTCTGGTTAGGGTCCCTCTGATCACCCTCCATATTATTTCCAGAGATGTGAAGGAGAAGAGCGTGCTAGGGAGTGGTTAACATGGATTCATGGAGGGGAAATCATTCTTAACCAGTCTGATAGACCTCTATGGTGAGACGAGTGGCTTGATGGATGAGGGCAAGAGCAGTGGATGTTGTCTATCTCAACTTTAGCAAGGTGTTTGACACTGTCTCCTGTAACATCCTCCTAGACAATCTGATGAAGAACGGGGCTAGGTAAGTGGAGAGCAAGGTGGATAGAAAATTGGCTGAAGAGCCGGGACCAGAGGGCTGTGACCAGCAGCACCAAGTCCAGCTGGAGGGCAGTCATCGGGCCAGGCACAACCCCAGCACTGTGCCTCAGGGGTGGTACTTGTGCCAGAGCTGTTAAACCTGGAAGATGGGACAGAGCCACCCTCAACAGCATCCTGGGGTTCAACGTACAACAGGCACAGCAGGTACGACAGGCACCAGTTAACAGAGCTTGGAGGAGTGGCTGATACACCAGCGCGTCACGCTACCTTCCAGAGGAACCTGGACAGGCTGGAGAAATGGAACCTCTGTCATTCAACAAGGGGAACAGCTTGACCATGAACCAGCAATGTGCCATTGTGGCAAAGGAGGACAACAGCATCCTGCGCTGCCTTCGGCAGAGCGTTGGCAGCAGGTCAAGGGATCTCATCTGCTCAGCACTGGTGCGGCCATATCTGCAGTGCTGTGTCCAGTTCTGGGCTCTCCAGTACAAGGAAGACAAAGATCATGAAAGAGGCCACAAAGATCTTGAAGAGTTTGGACCCTCCCTCCTACGAAGAGAGGCTGAGAAACCGGGGGCGGCTTAACCTGGAGAAGAGAAGGCTGAAGGGGATCCTATTAACGTTCATAAACATCCAATGGAAGGATGCAAACAAGACAGAGCGGTGCCCGGTGACGGGACAAGGGTATCCCAGACGCTACTGCAAGAAAGCCAGAATCCTGTGTTCTCTTCCCACCTTTCAGCTTCACTTGGACCCAATCCAGAGCACCTGAGATGATTCTCAGGGCTTGTATTTAGGCATCTAAGTCACTCTTCTGCTTTGTGATGAGATATAGTTATGAATAAGTAGGTGGATGTGTTTATACTGAAGTCTGTGGCAACCTTTTCTGGACCTTCTTAAAGCAGGCCCCCAAGATCCCCAGCTGGAAGGTCAGGAGAGGGAGCTTCTTCCCTGTTAGTGTAGGAAACGGATGTGGTTCACCAAACCTCAGTGGACAAGGAAGTTGATTTAATTTTCATGAACTTCCTAAGTGAATTCTTCCCACTCTGACCCTTGTAATCACTGACCCACAAGCACCAAGATGTGTGTGACCAAGCAAGGGTTACAGGGACATGAAAAACGGACATCAGGATTACAAGGACTGGCCAAGAAACTTACTGTGGAGAATCGGACAGATGGGAAGGGCTCACATACTGTTAGGTGATGTGATAAAAAGTTTGGTCTCTACACACACAAAGGAGCACAGAGGAACAATGGCAAGTGGGAAACCCCCAAAATATCCTGAGCCAGATGTTCCAAGGGCTCTGACAGGAGAGTGACCAGCCCTCTTCTCCAGGGGGTAAATCCATCAAGACAAGTAAACAGGAGAGGGTTCCCAGATCACCTTGACTGTTATGACTTAAGAGGTATGGGTCTCATCATGGGATGCACGGAAAAAGCATTTTGGGATTGCACTTGAGTTATTTTGAGTTGTACCCTTGTCTGGCCATTCCCCACCCCTGCGTGAGCGGCTTTTCAGGGAACCATAGGTTGGGGAGGTCGGGACAGGCAAGGCAGTGGGGGTGATGGGGACTGGGTCACTGGAGATGAGCTTGACTCACGTGGCTCTGATGTCCCCACTGACCTGCAGCTCACTATTCATCAAGAGTACACGTCTGAGAAGGGCGATGGTTAATATTGGGACAAACAGCTGAGCGATTTCGCTCATAGGAAATCAGCAGGTTTTGTTTAATAGCAATATTAGAGCTTTATATTTAATTTAATAGCATTTTTTTTTTCCATAGCAATGAATGGAGGGGGGAAATGCGCAGTGGTATAAGAAATAGACGTAGACAGGGAGAGTGTATATGGCATGGAGGACAGCAGGGACAACGGCCAGGTCACCAGCGTGAGACTGAAGATACGCATTTATTATTTGACAAAACGCCATCAGCGGCTCTTTGGCAATAGATCTGTCTGTCTCCTTCCTTTTCCTTCCTCTAACCAGGCTCGTTGACTTTCCCTTCTAAGTCAGCACCACAGGGAGAGATGCTTAGATTTCTTCTGGTAGCTTCGTCTCTAATAACTCTCAGCAGGCCCCATTAAAACTCCAAGAAACTGTATTCCTGGGTTTACTTCTTGCACTGAGTAATTTTCCCAAGAGTTCTCGCTACAGTGCAGAAAAAAAAAAAAAGATGACCCTATTATTCCCTCTGGTTCT